TTGAGATATTAGACTAATTCTTTTTCATTTTTACTTTAAAAAAATTTATTTAATATTTTTATAAAAGGAATTAAAAAAGTACATGATTGGGTAAAATTTATTCTCGAAACCCTGAACATATTCAATGTCTTATCTAAACTATCTGATGTATTACTGAGCTTCTGCATCATCCATAACTTCAATAAATTTGCTTTCTAAATCAAATTCAAAAGAAACAATTCCTTTTAATACTATTAAAGCTTCTTTAACCTTTAACCTCTCTCTTGGAATGAATTTTGTCAATCCATCAATTATGTATCGAAGCTATTTCTCATAAGCAAGGTTTTAGAAGTCTGCATTATATTGCAAAGGTTGGTGCTTGCTAAAAACTAAATTCGCTTAAAATCCTGAAATCATTGTATATAACAAATAACCTATTAACCAAAAAAAAAAACATTTACAAGAGATACATCTATAAATTCATGAATGATTCATGTGTATATTTCAATAAATTACCTAAAGAACATGCTTCACTCTTCAAATTAATATAATAAATTTTTTAAATATTTATAAGGTTTTATCTATAAAATACTCTTTGACTTGGATTTTACTGTACAGGTACTCCTAAGTTCATGTATTCCTAAGAGTAAATATCAAATTTTGAGGGATCATAACATTCTGGAGCTTGGAATATAACATTTCCTTTCTTTAGATGAATTAATATAAATATAAATAAGTATCATAGCTTCATTTCTTATTTTGAGATGTAAAAAGGACTTTACATAATTATCAAAAGCATATCCAGATTATTAAGTGAGATTATCTGCAAATCCAAAATCAGCTTATTAATTAATTAATTAATTTTATTAAATTTAAGATTAGAATAATGCATTTAATCAAATATCAATGAAAGATTTACAAACAACTGCGTTTCCATTGTAATCAATTAGGATATTATCCATCTTCAGATCATTAACTAAGCATTTCTTAGAATGAATAAAGTAAAGACCCTCTGCAATATCCTTTGTGTATTTAATAGCAGATAACTCATTCAATCTTTAATTTTAGGTATTCTTAATAATATCACTCAATGTTCCTATTTTTTATCGAGATATTCCATTTAATTTATGCATTAAGAGATGGATGCTATAAAATTTTGAAGGTAATGAATGATATATACCTAAACATTCGGTAAGGACTAAGAAGATATAATCATTTCCTTCTATCTTGTGTAGAAGATTGGCTACATAAGGAGAGCCCTTGCATTAATTGAGCATTTAGATTTCTTACTAAACTTAACCTAAAATAACTTGATCAACATTGTCCTTTGAATCTTTAATAGGAATTCCTTTGATAGCATACCTCTTGTTAGTTGATTTTTCCTTTGCTAATACAACTAATCCATGAGCTCCTAACCCTAAAAATCTAAATTCATCATATCCTTTTTGCAATAACTCGCTCTTCATATCTTTGTAAACCATATTTTAGGCTTTACTCAATGTAGGTTCATTAATGTCAGAAACTTTTGGGATTTTTAGAATAAATAATGATTAATGCTGCTTATACTAAAAAATGTTTTGATTTATGGCTTTAAATTGATAGGAGGCCTTAAATTTAAAAAAATGATACTCTGATAGTTGAATATCATCAAATAATTATGGAAATTAAAAAAATGCAATTTACTAAGCAACTCTTGTTTTTGAAGCATTTAAATACCCTTATCTGCATACATCTATCTAATTTTCTATCTATTTTGGATATGCTGAAGTAGCTTCAACTTTACCATTTCGTGTTGCTATTGATTTTAGCTGATTTATTCCATTAGATCTACCTTATTTTACTAATTATTCTTTTACCTATTAATTTAACAAATTAATCAAATTATTAAAATATTATGAAGAAACAAAGAGCGACTTTAGTTTTTCTCAACGAATTCATAAACAAAAACATATGCATTAATTAATTAATAGTATCATGATTACATATTAGAATATTTGTTTTTTGTTAATATTTAAGAGTAGCTAGCTAATCTTTTATTATGAAAAGTGAACATATTTTCAAAAACTTATTTATATATATTTATAAAGCAAATAATTTTTTATTTAATGCTAAAAATAATTAATTTATATTATATATTGCTAATAAATAATCTAAAGGATTGGATTTATTTATTTATTTACACCAATAAAATCTATTTCAAAAATATTAAATATGAGAATCTATGGATATTTTGATCTTTTATAATATAAAGCTTTTTGAAAACATTTAGTTAAAAATAGATATTTATTCTATTAATTGTATTATTTTTGCTAAAAATTTTAATTATTTAATAAAATTAATTGTAAAAAATATATGAATTTATGTATTCATTTTTATAGTTATGTAGTTAACACTAAAATATTAAAGCTAATTAAATTATAATTTAATCATTCATATATCAATTTTATATATAATTTTATTATTTAATTTGGCCTGTCAGTGGTAACCATTTTATTCTTCTTTTTTGGCATGAACTAAAATTTCAGTGTATAACCTTGAAAAAGGCAGTACCCTAGGGTACTTTACATAAATAAAAATACTATATAAAATTTAAAAGTAAAGAAGTATTAATATTTTGAATTTATTTCCTTTAAATAAAGTAACATCATTTTTAATAAATTCAAACTATATTAACAAATAATAATTACAAATATTTTGAATTTGTTTTTGTAGAATATAAATATTTTTATGTAAAAATAATCACTATTAATTATTGTAAGAAAATTTCTTCAATGAAAATTTATTATTCTTATATTCAGATAATAACATTATTTTCATTTTATCAAAGTATATGACTTCAAAAGCGTTTAGAATTCTTTTAAAAATGTCTTTTTACAAATTTTTCAATATAATAAATAATATAGTTGTGCTACAAAAATAATATATATAGCAAAATATGGAAAATTAATTTTATATAAAATGCTTATTTTAGATCAATATTTAATTAGATACTTTTCATCTTCTTCTTCTTCTTTTGGAATTCTTGGTTTCTATAAATTTGCATACTCCTAAATCTTCATTACAGTTGGGGCAAGAATGAAATTTATCTTTGACAGCTTTAACTGTTCCAAGAGTTAAAAGTGCAGATGCTAAACCAATCAAACCTGGAGCTCTTTAATATTTTATGTCAGTGATAACTAATTTATTACATTTAGGGCAAACTACTTAAACTGGATCAGATGACTTTGCACATATTTGTTTAGCGGTTAGCTGAGCTACTTATTGCTATTATTATTACTAAAATTATGGCTAATTAGTATGTTCCTATTATTAGTATACTTATGGTTAATAAGATTGAGGTTATTTTTAATACTATGAGTTATTATTATTTTATTTCTATGCTGTTAGAGGTTAATTTGATATTTATTATTATTATAAATAGTATGCTGAATTTTATTAAGACTTCTACTCATACTAGTTTTAAGGCTAATTTAAATTCAATCCCTATATTTAACACATTTAAGGCTGAGAAACAAATGGCAATTATTAATTTTAAGGATTCATTTATTCATCAAAATCATTTTGAATAGTCTTTTACTGCGGGGGTTTTAGCTTTAATTTATTTGTTTGTTTATCTATTTATTATATTTCAATTATTGATAATATGAAAAGTTACTATTTAAGAAAGGAGCATCTTGATGGGTGTTATTTAAAAAATCAGATTTAGTCATTGAAATTAAAGTAAAGATCTTAAAAAATCTGATGAATTTTTGAAATTGTAAAAAATAATTGCTTTTGTTGGATGAAATTTTTAATTAAATTATCAATGACTTGTCTATTTCCCAAATAAACATATTTTTATTGCTTAAAAAACATTCAAAATAATGTAAAATTAATTAAATCAGAAATAGAAAAAAAAAAATTTCTTTTAATTTCTATTTACTGATGATATGGATATTAATTAAAACAATCTATTAAGGAATTAATTATTTTACTCTTTTTATGAATTTCCAGGCTAGAATGAGAATCATTAGTTAATATATTTTTCAAACTATCATAAAATTTCAATATGTGTTTTAATATGAAGGATTTTTTAAAAACAAACATAAAAAGGTTTCTTGCCATTTATTTCAATTTATCTACAAAACTTTGATAATAGTATGAATTTAATAAAATTTAGCTATAAAATAAAACAAATCTTTGAAACTTAATAAAATTTAATTAAATGACTAAATTAGAGGTTAAATATTTTTAATATGAAGCAAATTAAATTTTATACATGTAATAATAATTATGATATAAAAAACATATTTATTAGCAAAAAAAATAATTATTAAATAAAAGAAAAACTAAATTTTTTAATCAAATACAAAATAAAAAGAAGAATTGTAAAATAAATCAATTGCTAACTTATGAAATTTCATTTAAAAAATATTAATGGTATATTTAAAAATAGGGATTTGATCTTATCTAGCTTAACTAAATTTTAAACTTATTTTATAAATCATTCTTAAAATTAATAAGATTGATTCTTTAATGATTGATTTTTTAGATAGATTTAGATAGTAAACTAAGATAGTTAAAATAAAATAAATAAATAACCTAAATTCATTTAAGCTTACAAAGAATTAAGATTAATGAATGATATAAAATTGGATTAAAAAAATAAAATAATTAAAAATTATTTTGTTTATTTTAATAAAACTTTATTTTAAATAAGAGTTATTAATTAGGTTTTTATGGCTAGTAAAAAATATAAAATAGTAAAGCAAGTAAAATAAAAATCTTATAGAGAAATCTATATATTAAGATAAATAAAAATCAAATACTCAAAACATCATATATATATTCACATGAAGTTTTTTGAGGGAGGGATAAGATAGTTGATAAAGGATATTATTGTGAAAATTTTTTAACTTATAACACTTAAATTACTTTTTAATTTTTATTTGAGAATTAAATTACTATTTAGAAAGAAATATATTTATATTGCTAAAAATAACTTTTATTTTATTTTTATGAAATTGGATTGACTTTTGCAGGTCTAAATAAAATATTCTTTTAATATTTTTGAATTAATTTAATAAATAGACAAATTTATTTAAATTGATTAATTAATCTTTGAAAATTAATAATTGAAAAATAGGAAATTAAAAAAAATGATAAAATAGAATAAAATATAATTTGAAGAACTAGAAGAAGTAAATAAAATTTTCAAAGATTTAATTTTAAATTATTTTTTTATTAAAAGTTTATAAACTCAGATCTGTAAACTCACACAAAAGCGAAAATATTAATGTATATAATTTAAAATAATTACTTAAATTTCAAATCATTTAATAAATTTCAAATAAATATAATTAATTATATAATAAGTTGATAAAAAAACCAAATTTAATTCATTATTTATAAATTTTGAAGATTTCTAAATAATCTATTAATATCATTAATCATTTATTTAGTTTCTTTTTTTCTCTTTTATATATTTTTATACATTTAAATAACTTTTTATTTTTGAATTTATTCATTTTTAAATATTAATTTGTTATATTTTTTCAAATTTAATAAAATTAAATTTCAAATATTTGTTAAAGCATCCATAAAATTGATGAATAAAGTATTAAAAGCTTATCTTCTGCTTTAGCGTAATGCTCAAATCTCCTAAATTTGGATCTCTAACTTTAGTAAAATTTATTTACTTATATTTTGTGCTATTTTTTTAAAAATAAGAACTTAGAAAACAAATGCATTCCTTATATTTTTATTGAATACATTTAATTAGCTTTTTTCAAACTCTTTTTTGGGTTAATTTGATAAATAATTTTTATTGATATTTTAACATTTTAAATAATTTTTCTATTTTTTTTAATTTAAATTGTTTTATTCTACTAAATTTATTTTTATTTATATATATATTAACTTACTAAAAAAATATATAGCTATACCTAAATAGATGACTGTGGTGCATCAGAACTTGCCAAAGGTTTAGCAAACTGCGCTAATCTTTAAATTCTAAAAATAGACTTTGAGTAAAAATATTTTATTTATTTATATTGATATTTATTGACATAAATAAAGCAGATATACTATAATAAAACTTTAAATGATATTTTAATTGCCTATTTTTTTACTTTACAATTACTTTATATTATTTGTTGATAAAATGATTTTTATTGCTTATATCTGCATTTTTTAAATTTTTTATCACAATATTTCTGATAAAATAATTTAAGAGAAAATTAAATTGGTTCATTGGGCGTCTAATAATTATGTTCTAGTTTAGCATAATGCTCTAATCTCTCAAGTTTATCTCTCTAACTTATGTAAAAGACATTTTTAGTGAAATTTATTTACTATTAATAAATATTAAAAAAACAAAGATAAGTGTTATTATATTTAGTTTACTTAATTGATTTTTATTATATTTAACTAAAATTTTTTTTTCTACTTTATTTTTACTTTTCACTTACAAAACAATCAAATATTTAAGACTCATTCGAATTACTTTACACTAAAATTATTAAGAAAAAACAATATAGGTGATTAAAATCTATCAAACTTAGCTTCTGAATTAGCTAAATGTATTAATCTTTCAGCTTTATCATTAAATCTTCAGTAAATATAATTTATTTAATTCTTTTAATATTTTATTTAATGAGCAAAGTTAAGATAATCTTTAAATTGTTTTGTCTTTATTTTCTGTAAAATTTATTTTTGCTTATTTAATTAATCAGAATTATTAATTTATTTAAAATTATTTTTTAACTTTAGCTTTAAATTTTTTATTAATTTTTTATTGTTATTTTCCTATAATTTCTGATTATTTTTCTCTTAAAAATAATAGAAGAAATAAAATAGGCAATATAAGTGCATCAAGTTTTGGTTTTGGTTTAGAAATGTGTATTAATCTTTTAAATTTAACTCTTGACCTTAGGTGACATATTTTATTTGTTTTTAAAAAAAAAATATTTTCTCATTTTTATTATTAATTGATGTTTTTATTTATTTTTTCTTACAAAATTCTAAATTATTTTCTTGAATTTAATAATTAATTTTGTTAAAAATATCAAAGTCGAAATAGTATTGGTACATAGGGTGCATCAAACATAGGCTTAGGCATATCAAAATGCGTCAATCTTTCGTTTCTGAATCTTGACTTAAGGTTAAAAAGTTTCATTTGCTTTTCTTTAATATTTTTATAATGTTTATTTTGTATTAGCATTTTTTATTTTTATTGCTTTATTCTTACCTGTTTTCAATTAGCTAACCCATTTTATTAAAATAAAATTACAGTAATAATAAAATTGGTGATTCTGGTATATCAAATGTATGTTTTGGCATTGCAAACTGTTCTAAAATCTAAAATTTAACACTTAATCTAGAGTAAAAATAATTTTTTTATGTCTTAATTAATATTTTAGATATTGATCTAATCAAAAAAGCCTGTAAAACCCACCTTTAAATAAAAATTTTTTTATGTAGAGTTTTCTCAATAGTGTTTATATAATTTTAATTTTTTAATATTTACATTTTTAATTATTTTATGGCATTTACATGCAAAATCTTACTTAAAACACCTATCAAAAAAAGCTGTTGCCAAAATCTTTAAAGATACAACTCAATTGTTAAATCGTAGGGGTAGGGATAATTTTAATTAGGTTCTGCTTTATCTAAGTGCACTAATCTCAAAACTTTAGCGCTCAGCCTAAAGTAAAATTAATAATTTATGATTATTTTTTTAAAAGCAAGTTTTATTAAATAAAAAGCATAGTTTTATATGGGCAATGAATATTATTAATATTTTTGCTTAATTAATTTATATTATTGTTTGTATTTCACTTTAAATTTATTTTTAATATTTTTCTTTTTTTAAACATTAAATTTTATTTTTTAACAAATATTTACATTAAATTTTCTCTTAAATCCAAAAAGTTAGAATGAAATAGATTCTAGATCTGCATAAGAATTAGGAAAAGGTTTAGCAAAATGTGTTAATCTTTAAGTTTTAAAACTAAATCTGAAGTAAAAATAATTTACTTATTTTTATTAATTAATTATTCTTCTCAATACAAAAGCTAAGAAAGCATCATAATATTTTAAAAATTAATATCGTATCTTTTATTGTCAATTTTTTTTTTCTTAAAATTTGAGCATAATTTTTTTAAAGCTTATTAATTCTAAAATTTATTTACCATTCAAATCTACTTTTACAAATAAATTCTTTCCAAATAAATAAATGAATTTTTTCAAAAATATTAACAGAATGAATAAAATAAAGACTTAAGGTGTATAAGGAATAGGTTTAGGTTTAGCAAAGTGTGTTAACCTATCAACTTTGGAACTTGCCTTAGAGTATATTTTTTATTTAATTTTTTTATTAAATTATTATGATTAACAAAGTGAAATGTAACAAAATTTATGATTGTTAAATTATTCCTAGCTTACTTTCTTTCAAAGCTATTATTTAGTCTACTTGTTGGGCTGAAATATTTATTTAATTATCCAAATTGATTATTTTTTAATAAATATTTTTTTTATCAGATTTATTCTTTTTCTTTATTTCTTTTTAATTAATTAAATTTATCCAAAAAAATATTTAGATCAAATGAAATTGAGGCACAAGGAGCATCAGACTTAGGTAAAAATTTATCAGAGTGCTCTAACCTCTCAAATTTGACACTTGATATTTGGTAAAATAAATTATTTTATTACAATTTTAAAATCATTATTTCAAAAACAAAAAATTTTTATGATATAAATTTTTCTTTCTATTTTTCATTAGATTTTTTTATTTATTATTTGTTTATCTTTCAGTTTTATATTGAATTTATTAATTTTTTCAGATTAAAACATTATTTTTTGATAAAATAAAATTATAAAAAAAGTTCTAATTAAATTGGAGTTTAAGGAGGATCTGATTTTATATCTGCAATAGCTAATTGTGCTAATCTCTCAACTTTAAAATTCGACATTAGGTAAGAATAAATTTTTTAGTTTTATGATTATTTAGTCTCCTTATTTTAACATTTAAGAGTAAAAAACTGAGTTCAAATTGAACATTTTTTTTTATTATTAAACTTAATATAATTCTTTTTGTAATAAAATTAAGCATTTTTCCATTTAGTAAACAAACAAAGATATTTATTTACTTTAACTAAAAATTTACTTAAAATTAATTAAATAAAAATATACTTATAAAAATAAAGCAGCAATCAAATTAAGAACTCCGATTCACAAGAAATATTTTCTGGTTTTGCAAAATTTGTCAATCTTTCAACTTTGGTATTATCACTTTGGTAAATGCTTTTTAGATTTAATTTATATTTTTTTAATTTTTTAGTTAAGTTAACAAAAAAAATTTACTATTAATAAATATTTTTAACATTAAATTTGTTTGTTTTTATTGACAATCTTAACTGTAAATGTTATTTTACACCTTTAGATTTACATGTTGATTCTTTCATTATATTATTTTATTATAATATTTCATAAAAAATATAACAAAATTATATTATGCTAAAAGTTTAAATTAAGTAGGAGCATAAATTGCATCAAAGTTAGGTTATTAATTAGCAAGATGCGCAAGCCTCTAAAATTTGACAGTTGATCTATTGTAAAATTTTTAAAAAGTTTTTATTAATATTTTTTTAATTTAATTTAACTATTTTTTGAATCTTAAATTAACATTTTATCTTATATTTTTAATATTTCTTTCTCTTGATTTTTTCATAGATATTATAAAATTTCTCTCAAAAATAAAAAAAGGGGTAATTTCCTTGGAGAATAAAATACATCAGACTTAATTTATACTTTAGCAAAGAGATCTAAAATTTCAGAGTTAACACTCAACCTAAAGTAATTTATATTATTTTTTATTAATAAAGAGAAAAAAACACATTTTCATATATTTGATTGATTATTTTTATTTATTCTTATTTGATTTCCCTAAAAAATTCTCTTACTCTTACTTGATTTCATAATTATTTATATTTAGTATTTTTTCTTATTTTAATATATTTTAATAATTATGTAAAACATTAAAAGTCTCAACCATATTGGTGATGAAAAAATATCGGATTTAGGTTATGCTTTATCAAAATGCATAAATCTCTAAACTTTGAATCTAGGACTTAAGTAAAAATAGTTTATTTACTTTTAATATTATTATTTTTTATTAATTTCAACAAAAAAGGTTGAGGAAGCAAAAATTATTATTTTTAATAGTTTTTTATATTTATTTGTTTTGAATTTGAGTTGCTAGTTTGTATTTACTTAATTACTTTTAAGAATTTGTTTTATATATATATATATATATATATAGAAAATATCCTTTGATATATAAAAAGTTAAAATAAAATTGGTTACAAGGGTGCAAAAGAATTAGGTTATGCTTTATCAAAATGTGTTAGATTATAAAATTTGGTACTCGATCTTTAGTAAAATATATTTAATTTATAAATAATTTTAAAAATAAATAAAAATTATTCAAATTATTACTTTCTACATTTTAAATTAGCTAATTTTTACTTTTAAATTAATTTTAATTAAGTTTATATAATATAAACATTTAATTTAATTAAACATATATAATAGAAATAATAAAATTGGTACTAAGGGCACATCAGATTTAATTTTTAGTTTGGCAAAGTGTAAAAATCTCTCTAATTTAGCAATTAAACTAGTGTAAATAATGATTTTATTTTAATAAAATATTTGTACTAAGCATTTTAATAAATAAAAAAAATAATACTTTCAAATCTTTATTTGTGCATCTATGATTTATACTAATCAATTTATTTCTAAATTTTCAACTTTAATTTATTTAATTCTTAAATTTATCTACTATTTAACTAACTACTAAAAAATTTGCATAAAAATATAAAAAGAAATAATGAAATTAAAAACGAAGCTGCTTAAGAAATAGGTTCTGCTCTAATAAAGTTCCCTTGCATCATAAATTTGACACTAAATCTATAGTAAAAAACTTTTTGCTTTTACATTTATATTATATTTATCTATATATGCTAGTGTTAATAAATCAATAATTAATTACTTTTACTTTCTAATTTGTTTTTTTTCATTAAGATTCATTGTTTTTTTTACATTTTCTTTTTAATAATTTAAAATTTTTATTTCGAATTGATAAAATTTAAAAAAATTAAATGGAAAATTTTATTTAATATAATTCAGAAGCAATTAAATTGATGATACGGGTATCATAATATTATGCTCTTGCTTGTAAAAGTGTGTTAAGCTCTTATAAATTAAGCTCATGATAGAGTATAATAAATATTATATAATTACTTTTGAAAATATTTTAATATAAACTAAAATCAACAAAAACCTAATAAAATTATTTAAAATTACAAAATTCTAGCTTTTTCACGATTTTATGATTTTTTACTCGTTCAATTATTTTATTTAATTTTGTTATTGATAATTTTCATTTTAAATTCTAATATACTTCTTAAAATTAATAAAGTCACGAAGAAGAATTTGAGCTTGATATTTATAAAAGCAAGATTCTTAAAATGAAGAGATTGATTGAATTCTCATTCTATAATTACTGATTGATTAATTTACTGTTTTTTTTATGTGTGAAATTAAAATATTTATTTTATGTAGAATTTATTATTTAAATATGAAATTATTTTTTTTAATTAAAATAAAAAAAAAATATTGATGCTGAAAATTGCCAAAAATTTGAAAAAGTTTTGAATATAGTTTTTTTACACTATAGTATATTTTTATTTATTTTTTTTCAATTTACAAATTTTGTTGAATAGTGACTTTAATTTCCTCTTTCATAAATATTTTATAAAATATTTTCCATTTTAAATACCTATATTAACAATCTTTTGTGATATCAGATTTTACAATTTATTTATATTTATTTATTGGTTATTTTTCATTTATAAACCTCACCAATATCAATTATCCTATAAAATTGATAAATTCTAAAAACACTTATTTTTAGTTGGATAGAATTTAACATAACTATATCAAACATACTCATTTTATAACAAAAATTAGATAAGAAGCCAAAATGATTTTGTAAATAAACAAAATAATAAAATTTTAATTTTTTAAGATTTATTTATTTATTTATTGCTTTTTTTAATAATCAAATAAACTAATTGATTATCAATAAAATAGAGATAAAATATAATTAATTAAATATAGTTAGTTAGTAAAAAAATAAAAAACAAATAAAGAAATAAAGAAGCAAGTTTACAAATATGGGTCAATGCGTAATTTTTAAACATGTAGAAAATCCAAAAAAACTTTATTAAATAATAAATTTAAACTAAAAAGGTTTAAAAGGAAAAAGTCAATGAATCAGAATTAGATTCTTAATAAATATAAAATAATGTTAATATAGAAAGTGAATAGATTAGTATTGTTAAAATTGATGACTTTGATTAAATATAAAACTAGAAAGAAATCGAATTAAAGTAAATATTTCAAAATATTTTTTTATTTAAATTTATTTAAAATAATCTTTTTAAATAATTAATAATACTATTTTTTAAATAAAAATTTTTTTTAATTATTGAAGTGCTTCTACAATCTCAAATGAAGAAATTAAACTAATAACAGATACTTTAATTAATTGCCGCAATTTAAGTCGTTTATCTATCTAAACTATATATACTTATATTAAGTAAATATTTATAAAACATACAGATGATCATTTTGCTAATTCTTTTATTCTAAAGGAAAATTAAGAATGAATTATAAATATTTATATTAAAAATTTTAATAAATAAATATAAACAAATTTTTTGAGAAAATATTAATTAAATTTACCCCAAACAAATATATTGATTGATAATAATATCATTTTTATTATTAAAATCTAAATTTATTTAGATTTTAGGGTATGCCTGCCTTTAGTTAATATTTTCTAAATTTAAATATATATGAAGACTTAGTGATCAATATTCATATTAATTATAAATTAAATATTTATTAAAATAATAAAAAGAAAAATTAATGAAAGTGGAGCTCTTGAGATTGCTAATCTTTTAATTAAATAAAAAAATGTAACGAACTTGACTCTTAGCTATTTGTAATTAAAACAAAAAAAATAAATTAATGTTTTTTATTGATTTAAATATAATATTAAATTAATTTTTAACAGGTAAGGGAATAGTGACTAAGAAGGCTTAATATATCTTATTAATTCTTTAAAAAGGCTTGATAATCTAATTAGCTTATCTCTATTATTTTGTTTAGAGTAATTTTCAATAAAATAATTAATTTTCTATTAAATAAATAATTTATCAATAAAGTTTAATAAATTAAATTTAAATAACTGATAAAAATGCAAAATAATAATTATTTTTTATGTAAGTTAATAATATGATAATGTTAAAGTAACTTAAACTTTAGTAAATTCACTCGAGCCTTTAAAAGATCTTACTGATTTGAGCCTTAAATTTTAGTAATTTATTAATTTTAGAAAGTAAGTACAGGAGGGTAATTAAGAAGGATATAATATTGACCTAATAATTGTATTTTTTGAAGTTTTCAGATAGATTTTATTGATATTTATTTATTTTTCTAAAACATTCCCCCTATCCTATAAGGGTTAAATAATTTATTCATTTAATTTAATATGAAATATAATTTTTGACTAAATTATTTGATTTATAAATTTTTATTATAAAAATAAAAATATCTATCAGTTTTTCAATGAATGTTGAATAAGTGAATTAATTAGCTAACTCTATTAAAAATTGTAGTAAAATCATTAAATTAAGTCTCTTAATAAGGTATAAAATATTTATATTTACAAGTTAAATAAAATAATATATAAATAAATAAATAATTATCTAAATTGATTTGCTGATAATTATATTTTTAAATATTTATAAAATTAGAACTGATGATTATTAGAGCTTGAAGTCAATGTTAGATATTTTATAGAATTTAAAAGATTTAAATGAATTAATTCTTGATTTTGAGTAAAACTTTTTGCTTTTCAAAATTAATTTTTATTAGAATGTTAAAAAATTAGTTAATCTAATCTACAAGGCTTAAAAGGAATAGATTATTTATCAAATAATGAAAAACTCACTAAAGTATCTATTAGTTTAGAGTATTTAGTTAACTTTATTTTATTAAAAAAATATTAAAAATAAAATAGCTATTTTTTAGTAATTTATTATTACAAATTTCTAATAAATAGTTCATTTATTGATTTAAATGAATGAAGTTATTTAATTAACATTTTGAAAATAAATATATTTTTAACAAATTTTAATTAGTTATTGTAAAATGAAAGATGAAGAAGTCTAATTTATTGCATCTACTTTATAAAATTATAAATTGATAACTCATTTGAAACTTAAACTTGGGTGGGTTATTCTTTTTAATTAATTATTTCATTTAATTTATTTTTTAATATATAAATTTTCTAAAACTAAATTAATTGATATAGAGATGAAAGTGTAGATCCAACATTTCATTTACATTATAGTGCTTAACCGTAATATGATATTAGATATTTATTTTAATTTAAATAATTTAATTTTAATTTTATTCAAATAAATTATTTAATTAATTATCTCTTTTTTTAATAAATAATTTTAATAAGATATTGCCCTTTTAATAAAATTGGAGTTTTAGGAACTCAGTATTTATCCTAATCATTAGAAAAACTTTCAGATTTAATTAATTTAAATCTTATTATATGGTAATTGTTAATAATTATTTTTTAAGAATTAATCAAAATAATATGCAATCAATTTTTACAATTATAAGAAATAGAAAAATAATTTGAGTGATATTTTTTTTACAAAATAAATTTCCTATTATAAAAGCTCATAGAATTCTTTAATAATATTAATTCGATTATTTTTAAAATAAACAATAATAAAAAAATAAAAGTTGGAACAATATTGGACCGATTGGAGCATAGAACATTTCTTTTTGCTTATAAAAATGTTTGAAGCTCTCTAATTTATATCTGAATATGTCGTATCTTCTTAATTTTTATAATAAATAATCTATCATTATTATTAAAAAATAAATTATTTTTATTAAATTTTGATGTGTTATATTTACAAAAATAATTTAATTTATTAGAGGTTGCGATGTTTAATTTGAAGGAGTGAAATAAATAGTAGACTCATTAGAAAAATGCTAAAAATTAACCACTTTAGATCTTCGTTTTAGGTAATTTAATTAGAAAAAATTATTCGAATTATTATTAATATTTTTAATCAATAGAAAACTGTTTTAATAAAAATAAATAACAGCATTTTGATTTACTTAAAAAATAGCATTTACTATTATTTACTTATTTTTTAATAGTTTTTATATATATAACAAAATCTATTATTAAAATCATTTAGTTATAATTATTATATGGACTATGAACTAGACCAAATTAAAATTAAAAGACTTGATAAAAGGATATTAAAAATGAAGAGATTGGTAACCAAATATTTTACTTATGATGATGCAAGATAAATATATTTGATGGATGATTGATTCATCTGAATATTGAATATAATAAATACATATTGCTAATATTTACAAGTATAGTTATTAATATTTTATACAATTAGTTAAAAAACTAAATATTTTCAAAATAAAAATTTGAGAATATTTTCTTTAAATATATATAACGTACTTTTATTGTATGAATAAAATTTTCTTTAAATTTTTTTATAATTGTAGCTTTTTCATTCAAGAACTAATTTTTTAGACAATTCTTTATTTGAGTTTGTCCTTAATTAAATAGGAATTATTATGGTATATGTAAATGAAAAATCTATTTAATGGTTTAGATTCCACTAAAAGTTAAATAAAAATATTAAAAATAAAAGAAATTAATTATAAAAGAAATTATTACAGATTTAAAATTAATACATATTATTTATTCATGATAATATATAAAAGATAATAAGAATGCGAATATAGTAAAGTTAACAAATTTTGTCTAATTTACACGTATTTCTGCGATTATTTGTATTTTAAAATTTTTTAAGAATCCTAAATTTTTGAATCAGGAAAATTTTAAAAAAAGATATTTTAATATAAATCGCTCATTCATTAATTCACTTATTATAAAAAATAATCACTTCAAAAAATAATAGCTATTAAAATGAAAATAAATCTAATTACAAAAATAAATGAAAATTCAACAAAATTTTTTATTAATTCTAATAATCTCTTATTCATATTATCCTTTATATTTCATTCATTCCTCATTCAATATAAACATATCAATAATTTAATATCAAAATATTATTATCTATCAAAGTAAAAAATAATTATTACTAAAATATAAATGCAAATAAAAAAAATGGGCTCTATGTAACATTGCTTGCAAATGTTATGGTCTCTGTTCTAAAATTAATTTACATAAATTTTCAGTCATTAATAAGAATAAAAGGTAGTAGTTGAGTGTGAATTATAATGATAAATAAAAAATATAATTATATATAAATGCAATAATGATAAATACTAAAAATTTGAGAAATTTCAAAGGAATTCGTGTAAATTTTAATCAAAAATTCAAAAATACAAATAATCCCTAAAAAACAAACTTGTAAATTGTTATAATTAAATAAAAATAGTAAATTTTGCTTATTCTAAATAAAAATAGAATCTTACTTTTTAATAACTAAATCTCTAGCTTATTACTAGATTTAATATAGAAAATTAAATAGGTTAGTTTTGTATAAAAGAAGAGGTAAAACTAATTAAAATTTAATATTAATAAATAATGATAATTCAGCTATTTCGAATTTAAAAAACGATTCAACATTTCATTTTATAATTTTTAAAAATGAAATTAATTTAATTAAATTTTAATTTTATATTTAATTTATTTCAATAAAAATAATCAAATAATTAATTAATAATGAATATAAGAAATATTGTATTATTTAATTATATTAAAATAAATCATAAATTTTACAATATTTTTTTTGAATTATTATAGTTTTTTCTACATTCAATAAATTAACTTTAAAATATATTTAATTTTTTTTCTTAAATTTAAAATAATTTGAATTAGCAAATAAATTTTAATAAAATTACTTTTTTATTTTATCATAACTAAAACAATTTATTTTTTCTCATTTAAATTAAATAAAATAATTATTAAAAACAATCTCAAATTTAACATAAAAAGAATTTAAATTTTTTAGAGAAAACAGTTCGAATGTACTTAAAAAAAAATTTAATTAAATAAAGTTTACAAGATATAAATATATATATATAAACAAATACATAAAAATATTAATTTATTACATATTTTATACATTATTAAATTATATCTCTATTTGATTTTTATTATGTTATTCAACCTAATGGCTATAAATTTGATTTTATGAACACATGCTCTGTCTGTTTGCTTCTCTAACTAAATTTTATTTATTGTTTAAAATTTAATTTTCCATATTAAATTTAATTTTCATTTTTCTTATTTGTTTAATTTTATATTTAAAAAAGAAATAAACCTAAAATCTTTTTTTTAAATACTTCTAAGTACTAATTTATTTTACTATATTTAGTTATTTATTTATTTGGGTTATCATAATTCAATTTGTGAATAAATAAATACATTTTTCAAAGTAAATAAATAATATTACTCTCTTTTATATTATCAGAATGAATGAATAAATTTGATTGACTCTAACTTTAAATATTACCAACTTTTTTTTTTATTTTAGTTTAAATTGATGTAGTTTCCTTAATTTGAAGAAAATTTAATTTTTTATACTAACTAATTATTTTATGGAAATGTATTTATTTTGCATTAATTTTTTTGTTCCTCTCTTAATTAGTAAATATAAATTTATACAGACTAATTATTTTTTTATTTTAAAAATAAAAATCCTTATTTTAATTCAAAATTTGTGCTTAGTTTACATGCTATTATTATAAATCATCAATATAGTATAAAAATTCATTGATCTTTCCATGTTATCAAAAATTTTACTATCTATTTAATAAATTTTTTATTTGTTTGCATAAATCTACCATCATAATTTAAATAAATATTTTTTAAAGTTACTCGCTAATT